TTGAAAGCAGCAGATCTTCAACTAGAATTGTTAACCATTGCTTATATGATTACTTTATTTCTCACTAGTCACAAAGCACTAGAGTTGCCAGGAGAGACTTTACAAGCAAATGTTCAATGTGATTTACAGCTTAAACCTTGGCAGGTTTGTTCAAAAGTAAGTCCATATGCTCAACAGAACTTACTCCCAAATGAGTACAGGACTGTGCAATTTTAGAATATATTGAGAAGTCAGCCTTATCAAATTGGTTTCTGGGAAGACATTCTACGAATTCCAAATAATAATTTTAAGATCTGCCTTTATTCTGAGTAGCCAGAGCTTAGTTTCCAACTCAAATGGGGAACAGAGTTTCAGTGATTTACACTGAAAAACTAAATTTAAGTTGACACTATCTTATGCCAGAAAACATTACTCTTTACAGGCATCCTTTCAAAATATAAAAATGATTAGATTATTTTTGACCACTCGGCTCCTGATTCTAATCATTTTAACATTTTAAATTTGTTTTCATTTTATCTATATTTCATATATTTCCATAATATTAAGTTACACAACACTTTAATATAGCTATCAGACAGGCAGAGAGACAGAAATCATTGTAAGTGATTTAGCCAAATAAATGTGCCCCCTTTATGAGGAAAAAGCAAGACCATGTCTGCAGGCTAGAAACAAAGCAGCTTTAGAGGTTATATTATATTTCAATGCTACACTTGTCCTGAGGTTTTAAAAGGCTTCCAAGAATCTGAACGCTTGGGTTTGATATATTTACCCTTGCCTAAGCATGCAAACCATGCTTAATAGTTACAAACAGCTCTATTTGATTGGGATCTGCTTGCACCAATTCAAGGACAAGTGTGGAAGAGGTGATATTACATGTTTACTCATTCTATTGTTCCAGGCTTGAAAGGAGAGTCTTTAAAATCAGGCTAAGCAAAATGGGAAGCTGATTTTTGCCAGGAGTATTGCATAAGGGTCAGAGAACAAGAAAGAAAAGACAGTTGAGATATCTAGCTCAGATTTTTCCACAAGCAAATTGCTCTCTAGATGCACCCTCCAAGTCTTTCCTTTGCAGATTTAAAAACCAGATTGTGGCAGAAACGACAGTTAACCATGAGGCACTACAATCATCTGCCTTCCCTATCAGAAATCTACCCTTTTAACTGAGATATACAACACTACCCAGGATATCCTTGCGTTAGGGTACCTCACTAACCCCATAAGGTTTAAAACAACTGCCAGTCCCCTCCCCTAGGTAAACTACATTGGGTATGCCTGGCCCGTCCTAGTTCATTTCTGCTTGCCCATCAGACTAACATATTAGCATACAGTATAATTTGCATAGGCTTGATAAATCTCAATCTCTTCTTGGTATAATAAAGAGAAGATGTTTAAAGATCAAAGGTCTTACCATGCATACACATTTGTCTTGAACATAGAAGTAACATATATATATATATGCCATGCCCAAGCTAAATACCACCGGTGAGCAAAAAACAAAAAATCTCTGTCCCTCTTTGCATCAAGGATATAAGCTTTACAAACAAGGCTGAAACAGTTCCTGACAATGGCTTGCTCTCCAATCAACTGATGGCACTGAAGATACTCAGTTCATTACAAGATATCACTCAAGGAAAAAGAAAACAGTTACTAAATAACTTGATCTTCAAGAAACTGTTGCTATGGTTTCTTGAACATTTTATGTCCTTATCTCTGACAAAGTTCTAGAGAGTTAGCGCCAACTTCTATGTGAAATAAGACATGTCCTCAGCACTCAACCTAATGGGACTGGTAGCCATCTTTCCAGCCTTTATTACTAATAAAACCCAGCTATAATAGTAAAGGTTATCACAGTTGCCTTTGAAGAGTGCAAGTAAAGTTGAATGCAACCTTCATTAACCAAGGGAGTGGACAGCAGGGATCAGATTTGCTAATGTGCCTGACTTCGCAAAGGCTTCTTGTAAGCATTCCATAAACAAAACAAAGATCAAATATTGACTAACAATCTGAACAGTTTAGGCCCTGTATATCTTTAAGATTTCTTTCACCCTTGTACTTAATAACAATGTGCTGTCAAGTCAATTCTGACTTATTGCGACTTTTGTCAGAGTTTCCTTAGTATAAAGTTCCTCAGCACTGTTTTACTAGTCCTTTCTGGTGGTACTCAGCCACTGTCCAGTTTGCCCAGGGTTACATAAGTTGGCTCTTCTCCTGGGAAACACAGTAGGAGATTGAATTCTCAGCCCCTATCAGGAACAATACAGTGAGCTATCCAGCCAGCTTCCTTCCTCATACTTTACTTCTGGGCATGTCTGAATGTCAAACCACAACCATGTAAGATTGTTTACCTGGCCACAACAAATGCTGTGGTGGATAAAACCAAAGTTCAGCCTCCACTCTGTTTCTAGATTTATACAACAAGATGCTCCTAGGATGGTCAGAAGCAGTAAACACAGGAAATATTTCTTAACCATGTACTGGGTAACAGGGAAGAGACAATCAAAACAAGTCAGTCTCTTTGAGACACCACCTTGTTTTAGTGTTTAAAATAAATCTTGCAACAAAATAACATCCTGAGAACAATATATGTTTCCAGGTTGAAAAGGAAAAATCTGTTCAAATAGTTCCTGGACTCCAAACTGATTCTTGTGCAAGCTTGGAAAGAGATTTGTTACTAGTGAAGAGATGAAAACAAATGGCCAAAATAGCAAGCCTGTGACTGCTATATCCACCAGACAGAAGTCCATACTGTATTACATTTTGTCAGAGTATATATTCATGGATGACAGCAAGTCAAAACACAGTAAGATGTTAACACCATTTTGCAAAAAAGGAACTGAACATCAAATTGTCTACCAAGATAATGCTGAAAGGAAACAGTGGAAAAGGAAAGGATAAAACTTGAATTAAACTATGCAGCATAAGCATTCAGATGTATCTTTTTGACTATGCCTTTAGTGGAAGGAAAAGACAAAAAAGTTACAAATAGCAGTGAAAGTGTTTGAAAAAGATACACAATACTGGCAAAAAAAAATCCTCACATATCTTCACTATCCTTAAGCACAACTACAGTATCATGCAAGTTCCACTAAATTCATTCGGTTGAAAACCTAAATTAAAGTGATTTCAGCTCTAGGTTTGTAAACATTCAAACATCATATTATTATAAGCAGCTCTTTTATTTCAATTATACATGGAAGTTTTGACTAACCATAAAAAATAAAGTCTTGCTCTTTTAAGAAAAGTTACCCAACTTAAGAAAATCAGGTCCTGCCAATTAAGCTGGTCACCAAATAATACAATCAAGAAGAGTGTTTTAAATTACTTGTTACATGATAACAATCAAGGCTCAAACAGTAACAGTGGTTAAGAATAGCCAGGACAAAAACAGAGAAAATCAACTTCTTTCTAACAATCAGTGGGAAAGTATCCCATCCCTAAACAATACAAAACATCCTGCAAACTAACAAGAGATTCCAGGACAAACCTACATTGAATGACCTCACAACCCTCTGCAAGCTAACCTCTATGAATCACATCCTCCCTTTTCTAGACACTTCTACAAGTTGGGAACACCTCCCCCCCCCCATGAACTCATAAATCACTGGCACTATTATGCAGGAAACTGAATTAACCATTCATCTGTGTTTTTAAAAAATGCAACACAAACATATACTATTTTGTAACCATTTTGGCTTTGATATCTGCAAACTTTCACCAGAAAACAAAACACTTTATGAACATAGAATCATTAAGTACTGCACTTCCAAACAGCTATTCTTATTTTCCATACTGGATAAGCAAGGACTCTATTTTCCCTCTTCCCTCTCATTTTCTGGGCACTTTGCCTATGCAAATACATTTTTAATAAGAGTCAAACTGGGAGAGCAGATTATAAACCCCTTAAAGCAAGGAAATACATTACATGTGAATCCCTTAATTACCCACCTCCAGTACTGTCAGGAGTATTACTGACATCATTATATATGCTAGTATTATGGGAAAGAATACACTTCAATAGCCAAGCAAACATGGAAAGACCAAAAATTGCAACTTCAAGAAGCCCAATAAACTCACTCAGGAACTGGACCCCTGAAACCACAAAACCATTATAAAACCAGAAGTAAAACTTGAGGTTTTGACCTGACCCTTCTAAAACAGGTTCGCAATCCTAAAACAAACACCTTTCTTTTTAAAAAATGAAAATATGGAAGGCTGCTTAAGCCAAATGAAACTCCTGCACCAAACCTCACAGGGCAGGGCCCAAGGCAAAGGAGCTACTGCAGCCAACGGGCAACCAGTGTCCCCTTATCCTCCTCCTCCAATTTACGACAACCGACGCTCCACCCTAGCCTTAAACGTTACAGAGGAAAAAGCAACCAGCCTAAATCACTGAACTCGGGCTGGTCCCCGAACGCGGGAAGGCCGCGCAGAGGGACTGGGAACCTTCGGGAAAGACGATCCCTCCACAGGAAGCCCCGGAGAAGCTCAGGCAAACTTCAAGCCTCCAGAGAGACCCCGCGCCCCACCCCTCCCTTCCCTTCCCCTCCCCGCGCCCACTTCGCGCCCCAGATGCCGACGGGGCCGGAGCCCTTCCTGCCTCGACGCCCTCCCCCGTATCTCGGCACTTTTACCCAGCGAGAGTCCGAAAAGCACCCACCCTTCAGAGGCAAAGGGGACGCGCGAGAAGAGAGGAGGAGGAGAGGCCTACCTCACCCGCCCCAGGCCCTTCCACGGCCTCCATTACTGACCCTCCCCAGACAGGCTACTACAGCCTCTTCCCTGGTCCCACAGGGACAAGGCCGCTGCCTCTCCGCAGGTGCAACCGCCAAATCCACCCCCTTCCCCTCCGAAGGGCCCAACTTCTCCCCCCCTCCGCCTCCTCCGGCTCCCACCTAACAGAGCGACCGCCTGCCCAAGGAAACCCACCAACCTCTCCGCGGAGACACTCCCTCAAGTATCCCAAATCCCACCGGCGCGGCCCAAATTCCTTGTCTGGGTACCTGAGACGGCTTTAACTCCCCCGCCCCTTCGCGGGCCCCGACTGTCTCGCACACAAACAAACTACCTCAACCAAACCCACCTCTGTGCAGGAAGGTGGAGCTAGGGTGCCTTCGAACCAATCGGGTTAAGGCACCTGGAGAACGAGCACGCCCTATTGACCAATCATCTTCCAGGAAGCCCCACCCTTGCCCCGGCCGACTTAGGCTGGGCAATAGCTATTTCACCAATGGAATAGAAGACAATGGATGGCCAATTAAAAGCCATCTAGTCAAAAGAAGGGCTGGGGATTTCTTTAACTGATGAGTGCATCAACCAGTAGAAAGGGTGCCGATTCGGGAAGCTTCATAAACAACAAATAAGGTGACCCAGAGGGGCGGAGCTGCGTGCAGCCTCCGGCCAGTCATAACTTGGACTTCCGTTGTTACTGGCCAATCCCAGACCAAATGACCTCTAAACTAGACGAGGAAAATGATTGACAAGCCACTTGATAAGACTGACCCCCCCAATTTTTTGTATCCAATGAGAGACTACGTTGTCATCGCGGGCCAGTGAGAAGCAATCTGGGAATTTGAATGGCAGTCCGTAGAAGCGCAAGGAAAAGGAAACTGGGCGGTGCGTAATCCTTTCTCTCATTCAATCGTCTCGCAGAGGAAGATAATTTCATTCTTGCTTGGAGCGGCATAGAGCTGGGGCAAGATAGCGGGATCCAGGGAGCAGATTGACTCGTGTGCGGAGCGCGGCAGATCAGCTATTTAGGCTTCAATACTAAACATATTGACAAAAAAAAAATATCACTGAAATCCGCGGAATTTACTCCTGAGTAACCTGCAAGGAACTGTTTAGGCGTCACGAGGGGCTGGAGTAATCTAAAGTGCAATTATGTAGAGCGCTTTTTTGTGCGGTACAGTGGCTGGCATCGAAGGAGTGGTATAGTAGATCTATTAGGTGGAAGCGCCAGGACATTTTATGATTAGAAGGTACGATTATATCCTTCCTTCCCCTTTCCTTTCTACAGTTCTCATCACAACTGGAAGGAAAATGGATTTTTCCGGCGAAAATGTGAGTGATGTCTTGCATCGCAAACTTGAGTTGGTAACTCCGGTGCGTTGTTTTTACAAAACACCTGTTCTTGGTGGCGATATGGAAGCTGTCACTGCTTTATTGGGATCCTCTTTGATAATATGGCTATGGGATGATAGACTGCAGCCGTGCTTCCATCTATTTCTGCTTCCCTGGGTAATAGCAGCTGTTTGGCAGCGACAGTTAAAGCGGTAGATGACGACGGCGCGGAGCTCCTGGCGATAGCATAGAAACAAAGGCTAGCTTAAAGCCCGGCTTTGAAATACATTTGGATCCTATGATACCTCTTCTGTAATTTTGTACCCTGATACATACAGGAACATGTGTCCTTCCATATTGTAGTGGAGACCTCTCTCCATTGTGTCTGTTGCCAGAGAAAAGCAGACTACCATACCTACAGTTATAGTTGCCCAAGAGCACATGCCATTGTCCTTCCTCACTAAAATCACTGGGGTTGATGGGATTTGTAATCAGCCATAGGGCTCCGTGTTTCTCACTTTGGAAGCCAGTCTTAATCCAGCGAAGATTGTACTTTACCTTGTGAACTATTGTCACACTTGTTACATTTAAAACATAGCATAAAAAGGACCAGGAAATTTGCAACCAAAGGAATTGTTAGTCTGTGGCAGACATGGAGTCCCTTTGGGCCTGAAGATATTAACTGTCAGCCCCAACTAATATGGCTGGAGATCAAGGATAATAGGAGTTGTAATCCAATATCTGAAGTGCCAGAGTTCCCCAAGACTGGTCTATACTACAGTATAGAAGTGTGTACTACCGTATTCCTTTCTGCTTGTTGAGATCCTGTTTCTCCACACAACACAATTTCAGAATCACTGTATTAAATCAGAGCATGGCACAAAAATCAAGAGGATCTAGATACAGTACAGTACTTGGAGATCTTCTATGTAGTATCCCTGAATATGAATCTGATATACATGAGGTTACTGTTATCAAGGATAATATAAGGCCCAAATTCTTCATATGTGTGATTTAGTTTAGTTAAAAAAAACTGAAGGTCATTCTTTGTCAACTAGAATTTACAGTACAGTACTAGATAGTAAAGTCCCAGATAGACAAAGGGACCCAAGTTCAGTCCTCACCAGCTTTGGAAGCTGCTGGGCCGGTGTCTCCACTTATATCTTGCAGCTACTGGCTATGAGTGTAGACCACAAAGTTAGATGGACCTTTAATCATAGTTAGTTAGCTCAGTGGAACTCTTCTGTAGGGTCAGCTCCCAGTTTTCATAGGTTGATCATGAGTCAGAGGGCACGTTACCTTGAAGGCAGTCACACACTACATGCACTGAAAACACAACTATTTGTATGAGTGAATGTTTTGTGTTTCTAGCAATAGCAGCTTCGACTGCAAACCCCGTTCAATTTTGGTAAATATCAGCAATTCAATCAAGGCTAATGGCAGACCTCACAAAACGTTGCTTTAAAACTACAATTTTTTTTAATGATGTATAAACAGATCTCACCATAATTTTAGAAACATGTATTTTACAAAGCGCTAACAAGAGACAAAAAATATGTTTCTTTAAGATTACATTACAAAATTGACAAGGTGCTGACTAGTAAGTTTTATACAAGCCTAGAACTTTTTAATAGAAGAGCCCAATAAATATATAAAATTCTTTTAAGTCCAAAGATGGCAATGAGGAGAAAATAATGCTTCCAGACACTTTAAAGATGTGGACAATAAAGCTTTCTGCTCTTCAACACATCTGGATGATATATTGCTGGTTCATCTTGTAATTGCTGAGTTTCTGTATCAGGTATGTCCACTTTAGCTTAGAGAATCTGAACTGTCCTCAGGCTTCTAAAGAAGCTATGAATTATCATCAGTTCAGTAGCCTGAGCTGACAGTTTCCCAAAGAGGAAACAAAACTGTAAGAACTGTTTATTAAATCTCAACCATACCTGAAAATCCACCATAGAAGTCTATGGCTTCTGCTGAATGAAAACACCCACCCATCCCAACAAACTTCACTTAAGGCAATGTTATTTCACCTTATCAGTACAAATGTTTTCCAGTAAAATCTGGAAATATCATTCCAACATAGGAACATTTAAAATAAAGTTAAAATTTGAAAACGTCATGTAATTTTCTTGCTTTCTTTAAGCCCCATCACACTGAATAAAGTATGTAGTTTGACATGACAATACCAGAAGGGATGTGTCAAAGCCTGGTATATGTAAAACAAAAATATTTGATTTAGTCTGCACAAGTCACTGTAGCACCTCTGTACCATGGGGGCTAGCCTGTCCTGAACTAAAACTTTGATAGTCTCTTAGACAAGTCATTAGCTCACCCAGGTGATCTCACAGTTCCTTTCACCCATTAATCCTTCTGAAGTTTTGACTTGTTTACCAGAATATGGACCAATCATGATTTTCTTAAGAATTCCACCTTCTTCCACACTATAGATTAATATTGCCATTTTGATTGCATCTGAAATTATCTCAAATCCTGCAATACACTTAAATGAAATAACCTAAAATGTCTGAGAGCCTTCAAAACAAGGTAGCATAAAGATAAGAGGTTTTCACTTCTGGATCTCTAGGGCTTATGGCAGCACAGTTCACAAGCATGAATGCATTATTATGGGGAAGACACACAGAGGTCCGATTGGATAAGATCACCAAATCTACTCATTTAAAATTGTTGCACCTAAAATTCAAAAGCTAACATGTATGCAGCCTTTTAAACAATCTGTATTTACAAAACACACGGCTTGAAACCAAGGCTAATAAGGCACATCTGTTTCGGGTGTGAGTACACTGAAAATTTGTAAGCTCAAATATAAATGAATTGAATACTTTCCCCGCCCTTGGAATTAAATAGTGAAATACCTATGGCTTTAAATGATTATAGGCTTAAGGAAAGACTTGTACCTGTTGACACAAACAAATACATGCATAGGAAACAAGACAGGAGGATATGGGAGAGGTGTAGGTAGGTTAGTGGTAACTGTATGCACATTTACCTCAATTAAACCCCTGGAAAAAAAAAGGTCAAGGGTCAGGTGACATGGTTGGCAGTTTATCCGATTGGTTAGTAAGCCATTGTATACCACCACAAAAGGAACACGGGCAGCCCTGCCTCTTTCCCCTCAGCCAGCATAAGCCATCACCATCAGCAAAATATGGCTTATCGTAAGCCATCAACATCAGCAAAAGACTGCTTGGCTATTTCAACTGACTTCAATGGTAAATGGGGCATGGCAATTCAGATTTTGCCAAAGTCCCTCTCTGCTCATGAAAGGTGAAGAGTTAAGTGCATGGGGACCAAATTGTGAAGGAAAAGGTGGGCATACTTCTACTATGGAACCAATAGGCAGGCACCAATCCTTTATTGAAACTCAATTATGTCAATCAGAAAAAAGAGTCAATCCCTGGCAGCATACTTGGCTCATGAGCACTGAAAAGGCAGACTTAAAAAATCAGCTAGTTCATGGAAGACACTGCATAAAAACCACTAAGGGAAAAACAACAGCACTCCTGTGATGTAAGGAAATGAGAGAAGTGCAGGTACTGCCCTCATAGGAAACAGATTCCTTGTTGCTGTCAGCCCTGGAGGTCCTCCTCTCTTGGCACAAATGCAGTCTGGAAGCACGGTATCCGCATGCTCTGCTAGTGCTTTGAAATGAGTTCAGCAGTAAGACCCCTCAAAGCCACTGGATTTGTGCCCAACTCAAGTTCCTGTGTTCCACTAAGGATTACTTTGAAAAGTTAAGTGCAAGCTACTAGTCCAATCCAAAGGAGCAGCACGTTGCAAAGTTTGCACCAGGACAGGTTCACAGGTCCTGATCCCATCTCATAGACGAAGATGTGGCACAGCTTTTGTAACATCCCGGAAGAAGGGGTGGCTGAGTGCAGTCTTTGCTGAAATCCTTTTGTTGGGATCATAATGGAGCATTTGCTAAAAGGGAAAAGGAGGCATCACAACAATTAAACAGGATGCAAAATAAATATATATATTTTTCCTAACCAGTGTAGTGAGAAGGTACAATTTGGTAACAGAAGACAGATATGGTCCAACCTCAGTACCAAAAGCATAAAGACTGAACTCAATACAGAATAAGACTGCTATGGTACAGAATGGGTGGACAGCTTGTGATCTTCCAGTTAGTTACCAGGCAAACGATGAGCGTTGACAGGAGCTGCACTCCAGCAGCAGTTGGAGGACCAAAGATTGTCCACTGCTGACAGACAAAAAAGTGGCTGTTCTGCACAAAATTAGTGGAAAGCTAGGACTGTCACTGTATAGAGGGGGCTGAGAAAGCTACAACTGGTTTATACCAGTCTCCAAGAGTCATTAGATTCTGTCCATCCTATGTTCTAGGAAAAGGGCAATCGAATGGAAATGTATGCTCAATCTCTGAAGAGATCATGTCTCATTTTACTAAGGAAACTACTTCATGGCTGTAGAAGCTGAAGAATTTTGCACAGCAAGCACTTCCACTCCATAGGCCTTTGTAAATATAAATGCTAGACATCACCTCCCTCAGGGTTGAAACAACTCCCCCCAGTACAGCCTGGAAACTCACTGCCAGAAGCTTCCTGCCTTCTTCATCCAGAGGTGGCACCACTTTACTGAAGTCCTGCCGGGCCCACTTGGGAAAGCTGGATTTGTAGTCTGGCATAGAGGTGACACCTGGCCACACTGTCTCATCTGGTGTGCCCAGTGTGCGAAAGATGCGGAACAGCTGGTCAATTTCTGAATCCCCAGGAAAGAGGGCTCTACGAGTTAACTATTGAACAGAAGAAAAGAAGATCCAAATCACAGCTCAGCATGATGCTCTGACAATGTCTCTTCAATATTATGGATCTTGTTACTGTCTAATATTACTAAACTGGGTTACTGTAACTTGATTTATTATCAGACTATCCTTCAAGGTGTATTAAAAGCTACTGCAATATATAAATTAGAATGTTTTACTCTTAATTCTGCAGTGACTTTTCATTTGCTTTTGGGCTGGATACAATGTAGCAACAGTTGTCATTTTTTTTTTTTAAATGGTTATATTTATGCATCACATTTTCTCCAATGAACATAAGACAGTGTACACAGCTCTCTCCTCCACTTTATCCTCACAACCCTATTCAACGAAGGGTGAACAAGGTCACCCAGTGACTTTTATAGCTCACTGGGGACTGGGACTTTAGATTGTGAATCCCAGGCCAACACACTAACCGCTACATGAGACTGGCTTTCTAAAGGCTTAAACAGTCTGGACCCTATGTCTCTTTTATTTTGAGATCAGCAATTGAAGCCTTACTCTATGGACAGCTGCTTATTCAGATGAGATCCAAGTAGGGCACTCTCAATAGGAGAGGCCATAGTATGTGGAATTCTCTACTCAGGACAGGCCATCATGCAATGCTTCTGCATAACCTCCACTGTAACTCAATGACAGAATACATATTCTGCATCCAGGCAGCACTATGTTTGATTTATGGCATTTCCAAAAGGATCATATAGTACAGTGGTCCCCAACCTTTCCTGAATTGTGGATCGGATGGGGGTTGGGCACCCCATGCTCATGGGTGGACAGGCCCCATTCTGCGGAGCGTGCTTGTGCGAAGGGGTGGAGCTCGCTTGCAGAGGTGAGGGGTGCACTCGCAGGTGGGAGGGGCACCCGTGCATGCAGGTGGTGGGCCGTGCGTGCGGGTGGGGGGAGTGCATGCGGATGGGCGGCGGGAGATCTGTCTCTGTGGCCCGGTCCTGCCATGGCCAGGGACCAGCACCAGGCTGCGGACTGGGGGGTTGGGGACCTCTGATATAGCAGACAAGAGAGAAAATGTCTGCCTTTCTGAGGCCCTGACAGAGAACCTGACAAATACATCCATATCATCCAGCAGCCATTCTACCAGGCTAAAAACCCTTCTTATATCAAGAACTTTTGCTTCTTGATTGTTTTTTCCCCTTCTTCCCACCATCTTTTCCTTTTGTACTGCACTTTTGTAGATTATACACTGCACTGGGAATCTTTCCAGATGTAGAGCACAGTAGGCTTACCATCTAGAACTCTCATCATCTTACAATAGCTTTTATCTTTCTGGATGTTATAATAGTCAAATATACCAATGGTTTTCATTTGCATTTCCTTTTTGGTGGCTCCCCATTAGAGGTGGGGGCATTTGTATATCCCTGCACAGGTGGCGTTAATGAGGCTCCAGCCCCATGGGGCTGGACAGTGCACTCACCAACCTACTGCGGACGGTGTGATTCAATGAATGGCTCTGCAGCACGCGATCCGTTCACCACTCCTGGCAGGAGGACAAGCCTTGCTGCAAGGTCGAAGAGTGGCGAGCAGCTTACACACTGGGGAGCTATTTGTAGATTCGCACTGTCTGCGGCGGATCCATGAGTGGACTGTCCGGCCCCAGGGGGCTGGACCCTTGTTAATGCCACCTGTGAAGGGATATTCATATTCATATACAAATACCCCCATCTCTACTTTCCATCCCTTGAAAGATAATGTTTACATGTTTTATTTCAGCTAGATTTTAACATATGACGTGCCGCTTTCTGAGAACGATATGGGTTGCATTGATACCTGTTTAAGTGCCTTATTTCACTTGATATTTGACTGCTACAACTCTAAAAGGTGGACAATGATTGGAGGGCAATCCAAACCAGTAACTGTTAAAATAGAGGCAGTGGGTCCAGAAAGCTTCCATAGCAAATTCTCCATAAATCACATGCTACATGATACATGATAGTTCAGAGTTCAAAAGAAGAACTTAGAAAAAAAATCTTTTCTATTCCCTGATTCTAGTTCTAGGCATACTTTTCTTCAGGGGAAGGGAATGATCTACGTCACTTCTTTCCCTGAAAAGGGATGCCAAATCAACTGATCTTTGTCAGCAGCTGTTCACAAGGAAGGGATGTGGAAACCATCTGATTGACTTTCTTTGTTTCACATAAATGAATAAGCGTTCACTGTGCTAAAATGCCAGAAACTAATGTTGTAACAGTGTGTATTAAAGCAGTAAAAAAAGCAGTATTTTGAGATTTTGAAGTAACCACAATTCCATGAATACAGTGAATTATATTACCCTCCATAGCCACGATTTTGTTTATGCTTTGCCAGCTATGCCAAGGGAAGAACAGAAAGAAGAGATGCGACAGTGTGGAGAAAGGTGTTTAAAAAAAAAGGGGGGGGGAAATGAACTGGATTGGCAGTGGAGAATCCTCTTTTCTACAGCATGAAGTTAATTCAAGCTGTTTGCCCTAAGCATCTTTCCTACACCATACTGCATTACACAAGTACCACGCTATGGTCAGACTTGAAGAAGGCATGGTGTTGCTTTCAGCTAGGAGAGCATTCTGGTCCTAAATACTCAGAATTCCAATAATATGGAAAGCAGGCAGAATCTCCTGTTCCTACCAAGATCATACACCTATTTATACTGGAAATGGGGGCTATTCCAGAACATTTCAGGTCCACGTTACTTGCTCCACCCACAACAGTCTTGAGAACCTCAATGGTCACAAAGGCTCACAGGAAACTAGTTTATCAGGGATAAACTAAAAATTATAGTAATTACATACTGTCCAGTCAATTCTGACCTTACAGTAACCCTTTGCAGGGTTTGCAAGGTATAGTGTCCTAGGAATTGGTTTAGCAGTGTCTTCTGGAGGCATTCTGGGAAGGTGCAGTTTGCTCAAGGGCCTTCTGCCTGGGGGCACAGTGGGGAATTGAACTCTTGACCTCTGGTTCCACTGAGCTGCCTAATTCTCAATAATACTTGCATCTGTAGTTTTAGCTGTCCCCTCACCCTCTTCTCACTAATAGAATGGGTTTGAATCTTCTGGCTCCAGGAGTTTGAGAATTTGCGTTGATGTTCAAATGCTGGGCCAAATCTAATATCCATTTAGTCTTGAGATCTAAGTTTAGTAAAACAAGCAATGCTTTCTTCATTGACTTTGATCACCTATCAGCTACCCAAGCCAGACTAATGCCTATTTCACTACTCCATCCCACTTCTGTTTCCCAAAAAGAGACATACCATCTCTGCAAAGATGCAACCCAGGCTCCATATGTCTACAGCTGTTGAGTAGTATTTGCAGCCAAGGAGAATTTCTGGAGCACGATACCAGAGAGTCACCACCTAATGCAAAGTATAACATCCAGCATCAATTTAGTAGTTGCTTTTCCTTATAGACACACAAAGAAATTATACACACAAAGCCACTGACAGATAAACCGTTTCAACATATTCTTTCATCAAATCCGTAGTTCCAACTCCTAAGAAACTAGGCCAGCATTCAAATCAAACATGAGTCTGCATTGCAACTTCTTGAACACAGGAGGGTGAGCACAAGTGCATATACCTTAAAATGGATAAAAACCACAGAGGAGCAAACTACTGTGTTTCCCCAAAATAAGACAGTGTCTTATATTAATTTTTGCTCCAAAAACACATTAGGGCTTATTTTCAGGGAAAGTTTTATTTTTTTTCATGTACAACAATCTACATTTATTCAAATACAGTCATGTCATCTTCTGGTTGCTGCACAATGCTGCATAATGGTGGAGGGCAGGGTTTTGCTTAACTAGGGCTTATTTTGGGGTAGGGCTTATATTAAGATCATCCTGAAAAATCCTACTAGGGTTTATTTTCAGGTTAGGTCTTATTTTCAGGAAACGGTAGCTGTGGCTATTGATCATAGTTTACTGTACATATTAAGGTTATAAATTCCTTTCAGAACAATATCCCATTTCCCATCCTATCCTGCTGCCCAGTCCCAAACTAACTACTGTAGTCAGTTTTCTAAAATGAGAAAATTATCCAGTTGATCGTTTTCTAAAAGACGAAACAGATGATTTGGAAAGGGCTGTACTTATAGCTCAATAGTAAATTGTGTATTTGTAGGTGACGACAGAGAAGATCCATGCTTGACTTCTATAAAAACTGTTAAAAGGATCCAGTTTTTCCACCTGGTATCCCCAATTTCAGATGAATCACGCAAAACCAAGTTATTTTGAGTCATTGACTTTTCCTCAGAGTGTTCACAGAACCTAGATTTGGGTAGATGACTACAGCATATCTTGAAGGGAGGTAATCCCAGCTGAGGAACAGGAACATGCCTATGGCTGCAATCAGACTGAGGACATAACTAACTACAGTGGTACCTCGCATAGCAGGGATTAACCTTCGCTATAGCGAAACATCGCTGTGCGAAAATAAAAAAGCCATAGAAATGCATTGAACTTTGTTCAATGCATTCCTATGGCTTGAAAACTCACCGCTGTGCGAGGTTCTTCCATAGCGCCGCCATTTTCGCGCCCTCGGTAAGCGAGGGCAGGGCGCGAAAATGCGGCGCGGACCATCCGGCGGCCATTTTGGAACTGCCGATCAGCTGTTCTCCCCCGCTTCGTTATGCGATATTCGCTTAGCGAATATCACAAAGCGAAAAATCGCCATAGGGGCCATCGCTGAGCGCCTCATTAAGCGATTTCATCGCTCAGCGAGGCGCTCGTTAAGCGAGGCACCACTGTACTTATTACTCTGTCCTCTCTATGAAAATCCCAGAGAAAGATTTTTGTCTCCCATTATTCAGCTGTATCCTAACTGTACTTCAATGGAAATAGTAGTAAGACTACTCGCTGTTAAACAACTGTATATTACGTTCCCTGTTGCAGTTTGCTCTGCCAGCTAAGAAGTCAACACTTCAATTTGTTAAGGTTCATAATGTCGCTGCCTATCTGTGAGAAACTGAAGCAACTTTCGTAACCCACTGGTTGAAACAAGATTTTGTTTGAGAGCCTGCAACAGAAGTGCCAAGTCTCATGTTTCCAGAGCAGCTTTGGTCTGACAGTATTTGAAACAGCAGTATTTTGGATTTTTTTTCTCCTACTCTTCCATCTGAAGTTGAACCAGTGCAAACAGTGGCTATACTGTACGGTACTAGTAAAGATTTATATACATTATACAGAAATACACATAAAATCATACAAAGGCAGCAATATATCACCAAACACCAAGAAGCATAGTTCAACATGAGGAGACCCACTCCCACATTTTATCCACAACAGCAGGGGAATACGGTGTGGTGCCTCCAATGCTAACCCCTTGTTTGGGTAGGTTTTGCGAATGTTCTTAAAATATTTTGGTCCCATCTGTTTTAGTTCTTCAGAGACCAAAACCAGACCTTAGAACTGAAAAAAAGCAGGAGCCAATACAATGGCTTATGAAAGACAATCTATCCCATGACTTTCCAGATGTTTTAGCCAATAAGTGCCAACAGCATGAGACTGAAGGTGGTTTTTCTAACCTGCTGACCTCAATTGCCAACTGTATTTCGAATTAGTGCAACTTTCAAAGCTATCTTCAAATCCAGCCCCATCTACTGCAAGCAACTGTTATAAAGCAGGTCTCTGGCATCACTAATTTTGGTGACTGTTTTTTCAACTCCTCTCTCTCAGGATGTTGTCTCAAGTGTTGAGGTTGGGTACCATCATATCATACCGCCACCTTTCTCTTGCTGTATGGATTCATTGCTCTTATTAAGGTCCAGCCAGTCTCTGAAGTTACTCACCCAAGACATCTATCTGTCTTCTTCTACTTCCATATTCACACTCAATTTTGATGCATTGCAATAATTATGTTGTAATGATAGAATTGTGTCCAAGATATGAGAGCTTGCATTTTTAAACTATTTAATGGTTTCTTTTACTATTTATTCTTGTTTTCCTATCCAGTGAAGCTCCTCTTCATTCTTTAGTCTATTAGTACATGAACTCCGAAAGATTCTTCCTTACCTCCACATTTCAGATGCATTAATTCTATTTAGCATCTTCTTAATAGTCCCAACCTCACATCCATATAGGAGGTTGGCCATATATAAACATCCTGTCTCAAGGATCTATTAAGCTGTTTGTTACACAGCATTTAATACAACTTCACAAAAGTCATTCTATCTCAATGTTTGTTATTTCTGAATTGGAGTCCAGTAAAATCATGTTTTTAAAAAGAAAAATAACAGATGAATAAATATGACATAAAAATTAAGACACTCACCTCATGTGTGTAAGTGCGCACTGGAACACCAAATGCACGAGCAAGTCCAAAGTCAGCCAGTTTTATCGCTCCCTCAGCATTGATCAGGAGATTCTGTGGTTTAAGGTCCCGGTGGAGCACTCGATGAGAGTGGCAGAAGGCAAGGCCTTGCAGTAACTGGAACAGGTAGCTCTAGGAGAAAAACAAACAGGAAAGCTGAGAGATGAGCCTTGTAAAGCAAAAAGTTTACCATTTCCATATAAAGGGCTGACAGCTGAGATGCTGAAAACCAGCCCAGGCCCTCTCATGATGAACTTAAACATCCTAAGTGTAACCACTGAAAGTAACTCTTAAGAACAGAGCATCTAAACATGCTCCCATTATTACTTGAATTTGGCCATAGCATTTTCAAATGAATTTAAAATGGGAGTTGATATAGATCACCCACATGGTAGCTATGAATCACTTTCACTGGCTACATCTAGAAGGTTCAAAGTAACAAGACAGGACCATTTTGGTTTGCAGGTTCTCAAAGTCTGAGTTGTTTTCTAAGCCACAATTGTAGTGGTTTTGCAACAAATATAAAATATGGGGTACATTTCAGCCTCCTTCTACTGTATCCAATGAACAGAAATGCCAGGTAGCTCAGGGAAATCCTACCCCTCCCATCTAGTCTTTGGATAAACATGGATTCAAATGTATTCACCTTACTGAGATTATCAGACCACAGCAGCCCACTAAAGAGAAACCATTCCTCCTTAACCCTTAAATACCAGGCAGGAACTTCCTAATCCATAGGTTCAAGTCACAAAACAAGTAGAAACCCAAGAAGGTAAATGCTGCATCCACAGCGTGTGCAGAATATAGCTTCACACTTTGTAAGTCATGATAGAGGGCAGTTTGGTCCCATAAGCATATAATGAAAAGAAAACAACCTGTAACTTTCATGAATCAATATAATCTTCATTCAAGTGTATATAAAAATGTTATCCAACTAATTACATGGGGAACTTCCTGTACATGCCAAGAGAAGCCCCATTCATTTCAACTGACACGGTAGAAAAATGTGCACATTTGAGTGCACACACACAAGAGCTGTTCTCCGTCTGTGCATGCAGGAGTAACATATACTGTATATTCCCGTACATTTCTGGATAAGTGAAAAATAAAAATGATCAGTATATTAACGGGCCAAGAAACTACCTGTTTGTTTTTCCTCCACCTAGTTTCCCTTCTGGTCCCCAGCTACTCACCTTGATCAGTGGCAATTCTACACCACTGATGGAAGATGAAGAATCCATGAATTTCTTGAGGTCTTGATGGAGGAATTCAAAAACCAAATAAAGTTTGTTTTCTGTATGGATGACATCGAGTAGTCTGAACAGAAGAAGAGAGCAAAGCAGAATAAACAAAGAAGCAAGATTGATAAGGAAGTTCTAAACAAAAATGTTTCTAGCTTACTGGAATAACATTCCCAATGACTCAGGAATGCTGTTCAGAAAGCACGTACAGTACTAAACCTTTTGTTGTTTAGTCGTGTCCGACTCTTCGTGACCCCATGGACCAGAGCACGCCAGGCCCTCCTGTCTTCCACTGCCATGTTTCAACATTTAGCATCATTGGTGAATAACATCTGTGATATTTGCTTTTTTTATTATATAGTTTCACCTGAAACATCCAGTGCTTTTTACTATCTGATACTTTATAGGATTACAGTGGAACTTAATATGGGGAGGACAGGACATTCCAGGCATCTTTGGCAGGCCATCTGCTCATGTCCCTGTTGGAGCTGATGGAAACTCCGGCTGCTGGGTACAGAGAGAAAAAGAGAAACACAGGCTCCAGGAGAAGACAAGTCACACCTGGGCAAGGGCTTGGCCCAACTAGTAAGAGCCCAGTATACAGAAAGAGGAAGAAATGGGGCAGGACCCACCTCTCTCTACCAGCTCTGAAGAACAGGAGTAGGGAGAGGTTGAGGAGGAACTGGACCCACTGCTTTGTTCCTTTGGGTAAGAAGATAACGGTCCAGAATCCTTGGACAGGAGATTGGGGCCAGATGCAGATGGCTGAAGTATGTGGCAGGGGTATGTTATGTTTCAGCCTGCCATTGACTCCTGTCCCCTCATGGAGACCATAACTGGCAGGGCATGCAGTCCCTATTTGGACCCAATAGAGGCACTGGAGTAGGATGTGCCAGAAAGAGCGCCTGAGGCAGCAGTCAAGAGGGACTTGGCTCACATCTGTGCTGAATACCCAACATCAATTATGGACTGTGGGCAGCCCAAACCCAGTGACTAGAACTTGGATTCAGCAAGACTAGACATGGCAGGGAAGGGTTAGTAGAACCAGCTCAGCCTCGCCCAGCAATCTGGCAGAGTGGGGTGCTACTAGCACCCAAACTTTTCCTGTACCCTATTTCACGATTATTTTTATTTTATTTATTTATTTTATTTATATCCCGCTTATCTGGTCGGGTCAGGACCACTCAGGATCACTACATTAGTAAAAATTAGTTCTAGCTACTCCAGAAGTATTGACTCTATGTAAACTGTGACCCAAGATAGCCTGGATGGGGGCAGCAGCACTCACATTAAATGTTCATATTTTATGTCATATCAAGAATACTATTGAAGTACATGGGTACTACCAAGATAAAAAACTTCATGTTTTTAGGGAAAGACATTTACTTCTTCAAAGGGATTTTTAATGTTCATTTGCATTAAAGAACAAAAAATGCAGCTGTATTTTTAGGACCACAGAGAAAAAGAGAGATTGCTTGTACATAATTGTTCGCTTTTTGAAATTTCATAAATATGTCAAATTATACAACTGTATATTTACAGAGTTATGAATGAAATGTTTAATGTTTCTAAAAAGGTATAGTAAGTTTAGGTTTCATATGAAAAAAGTACAGTGGTGCCTCGCAAGACGATGCTAATTTGTTCCGCAAAAATCAGTTTTATGAAAACACCATCTTGCGAAATGCGGTTCCCCATTGGAATGCACTGAAATCCATTTAATGTGTTCCAATGGGGGAAACAGTCGTCGCCTTGCAAAAATCGCCCATAGAGAAATTATTTTGCGAAACGCGGATCAGCTGTGAAAATAGTTGTCTTGCGAAAAACGGTCCTGAAAACACCCGTTTTGCGAAGCGCGGAAGTAGCTGTGAAAATCGTCGTCTTGTGAAAAACAGTCCTGGAAAAAAAAAGTCTTGCGAAGCATGGACCGAAACATCGTCCAGCGAAAATTGCCTACAGGAAAAACCGTTTTGTGAAGCGCTATAGTGATTGCAAAAACTCATCGTCTTGCGAATAAACCATTTTGCGAGGTAATCGTCTAGCAAGGCACCACTGTACTTCAATATTTTTAACACTTCCATTTTTAAAAACAAACAAAAAACTTTTTCCCATGAGTTCAGAATTTTGAAAAGTTTACATCTCTAGCAGGACATGGGGACTGAGAAAGAGTGCATTCTTGATAAAAAAAAAATGTGCATCTCCCCTGGAATATTTCTGCATCTTACTAGTTGAACACGTACCACTTGAAGACCAGGACAGTTGAGAAGGGAACCTTTGGGCTGCCCAAATGTCTTGGACTACAACTCCCATAACCATTCACCACTGGCCATGCAGGCTGCAGCTTCTAAAAAACCTGGATGACCAAATATTGCCCACCCAAACCTTATACCCTGTGCAAGCTCCCCCATAAATAGACTGAAATTGCAGGTACTTTCCCAGTTATTTCCCCAGATAATCCTCTCTCCCAATCTCCCTCCACACACTTACTTGACAATATTAGGGTGGTTCAGTTCCTTCAACAGTGAGATCTCACGGATGGCTGTGCTCGGGACACCTTCTGTCTCTCTAGAAACAAGCAGGAAAGACAGGATGAAGAGCTAGCCATGGCTGTGCTCCACAAGGAAAAAATTAACAGCCTCACTTACTGTCTAAATAGGAAAATATCCCCTTGTTATATTGTTAACTACTAGGCTCTTTATAAAGAAATGTAGTTTCACATTTCCAAATATACAGTTAAATCTTTGAGAAACATCTCTGCTTTCTAATTTATGTATTAAAAAGTTCTTATAGAGCAGAATCACCTGTTTTATCAACAAGCTTACATTTTTCTAAATCAATCTACATCTTAAGGCCTAATAAAACCAACACGAAAAAGTCAACCTTAGTCACAGTTGAATACTATGAATAACAATCCAGTGTGTTAAGTGTTGTATGGTGTAAAGGAGAGCTAAAGCAAGGAAGACAGGAGTCTAAATATCATTCATATAAGGTTTCCTCAGCATGCAGGAGCAATAATCTCTGAAATTAGAGCAAGCAAAAGTTATTCCCAGAATTCCACAACCAGCACGTCCAAAACCAATGCTGGTTGTGTTTTACTGGGAGAGGGAGTCATTCCCACAAAAGGTAACTCTTTCAAGCTCTGCCTGGATTTAGAACTAAGAAACTGAAGTGCTCAGATATACAATACTCAGATATTCCCAGCCGGCCTCTAGACCTAAAGGGATTGGCAATGGCCATGCAGAGATGGGAGAAAAGTCTGGTGCTTAAAGATGCTTTTCTTTTCAGCTAATCAGGGGCTCCACTGGAAAAAATAACTAAACAGCTGAATGGCCTGGGCAGCTCTGGGTCCTGCAAGAGTCTCAGTACTTGAGAACCTGGTTTGGCCCTAGTCATGCTCAGATTTTCCTATGCTCCTTTCCACCTCACAGGAAACTCTTGTCACACCCTGCAAAAACCAGCCCACTGAGCCACTTCTTATCTTCACCGGCGCCGGACCATCCCACCTAGGCAATGCCGTCTCTTTGACCAGAAGTAGGCCCAGAGCTAAGGGGAAAGTTGCGGTCTTTTCGGATGACAAACCCCAAGCCCTCCACACAAACCTCAACATAGTCCGTAGCCACGTCGGAGGGCGAATTCTGGGCTTCGTCGTCAAACCCCGCAGCCACCCCCTTCCCCTCAGCAGCCGGCTGGGCCTCGGGACAACCGGCCGCCAGAAGCCCCTGCGAAGAGAGCCCTCCGTGTCCACCCGGGGCGGAGCAGGCCGTGCAAGAAGTTCCCCCGGGCGGCCAGGAAAGTCCTTTTTTTCCGAAGACTTTCCAACCAGGCCAAGGGAGAAGAGCAGCGCTAGCTCTCCCTCCCTTTCCCGCCTCCCGGCCCGTCCCATTTGCGGGAACCCCGAAGCACCCAAGGGCCGCTCTGTTCTGACTCGGGTGGAGCGGTGCGGGGGGTGGGCCGGCCGTGAGGGAAAGGCTAGTCCCGCGAGGAAAAGTTGACGTCGCAGGAAAAAAAAAAAGGGGGTGCGGAGCCTCTCCAGGCGGCCCGAGGCGCTTTGTCCTTTCCCTCTGGGAGGAGGAGGCGCGCTAAGGGGGGCAAAGGACAAAGGGCGCCCCCCACTACCACCCCCGCCCCGGGAAGGTGTCCTTGCCTCTCTCTCTCTCCTCCCCCGCTCTTCGCCACCCACCCCACCTGGGCTGAAATGGGGCTCCTCATCGCTACCCAGCCCCTCAACAAAGGAGGCAGTGAGGACTACTCACGTGTCCAGACGGATCTTCTTCAGGGCCACCACCTCGCCGGTGACTTTGTTCTTGGCTTTATAGACCACGCCGTAGGTGCCCTCCCCGATCTTCTCCACCTTCTGGAAGTTCTCCATGGAAGGAGGTGACCAGGGTAACCTTCCCCAACCCCCGCTACCCCGACAGATCGAGGGGAAGGAGGAGGAGGAGGAGGAGGGATAACTCGTAAAGGCACTCGTCGGTGGCAGGGCCGGTCTGTGGTCGGGTCAAGCCCACCCGCGCGTGAGCGTGCTCGCGACGGGGCTCGCTCGCTCGCTCTTCTCTCTCGCCGGGCTGGCCGTTGGGCTCGTGGCGGGAATCGGCTCTCCCGCGCGCTTTCTTTCTTTTCCCGCGCGCGGGGCTCAAAAACAACCTGCAACAAAGCTCCCGCTCGCAACTCCCCTCCTCCTTCCCAACTGCTTCCCGCGTTGCCTTTGCTCCGCCCACCCTCTCGTCCTATTGGCTCCGACGCGTGTTTGCTTGCCGCGGGAGTAAAACAAACAGCCGATAAGCCTTTCTTAAAGGGGGCGTAACTCTCCAACATTTTGCGTCCGTTAAAAGAAAGGCCAACATTTTGCGTCCATTAAAAGAAAGGCGAGCGGTCCCTTTGAGAAGAGTTCTTAAAAAGAAAAACACAAGCAAACTCCTGGGTCGTTCCAGCAAAAAGCAATAAAAGACTTTTGACAGCTTAATGACAGTCCGTAGTGGCATTATTTATATTACAGTATTTATATGCTGCCTTTTTCCTCAAGGTGGCTCACAACAATTTAAACAATGCTGGTTCAAAATACTATCCAAAAACGATATTTAAAACAATTGAAAATTAGTCAATATTAAAACCAAGATTCACAACAATTTAAAAGACGTTTAGATATCCAATTGCAAAAAATACAGCATTTATAAAATTCCAACTTCTTGCTTAAAAGCCTGCTTGAAAAGGAAGGCACTATTTGGCACTATGTAGTTAGGTCTTTGTGAAGGAGAGAGAACTAGTGAGCTGTCCTCCACAGGAAGTGTGCAGGAGGAAACGTGTGCATGTGTAGAGGGCATCCTTATAGAGAGGGGGGGGATGAAGGAATGAAGGAAAGACAGGCAGTAGAAGTACTATGTCTGTCAGAGGACAAGGGGGAGGGAGAAGGGGAGGAGCAAGACCTAATAGTGTGGGAGGAGGTTATAAAAGAGTGGGGTGAGGGCGGGAGAATTCAGAATTGAAACGGACCAGACTAAAAAAGGTAGGGAAGATTGTGTGGTGCAAACAGAGAGCAAGGAAGATGTATCAACTAAGGTCTGTGATTTGCTAAAAGACTTCCCAAACCTAAAAAAACCAGGAGGAGGCTTGCTGCCAGATTCAGACTTACCCAAGGTGGAGAAACGGAGTGAAGCCTCTAGAATGGCCAGTGGTAGTTTACTCCCGCAACCAAGGAGGAGAGAGGAAAGTGATCCATCCCCATCCCTCCTACAACGCCCCACCTTTAGAGGGGGACTGGGCGAGACACCCTTGCTGTTGGACTGTCTGTGCAGTAAGGAGCACCCCTTTGAGGGAGATGACCGATCGCAAGCGCTTTGGTCCAGCCCCAGTGTGAGAAGTGACCTGTTGACGCCAGGGACCAAAGTCCTAAGTTACAAGACATTACCAGAATTAAATTGTTTTGACCCGTTTAATTTGGTTGATCCTGATGTTGAAGTTAATAAAATAGAACCTGTTGGATTTTTGAAATCGTCTCCGTCTCTTATTCCCGCCAAAATGAGGGAACTGTCACCAGCTCAAGAAGAACCCGATCATAGTGGCGCCCAACATGGGCCGGTCCCTTAGGAGGGAAAGGAAGAGATTTCAAAGCTTCAGAGAACTATTGAAAGACATGTGAAATTGATAGAGTATCTGGCTGAGCAGCAGACTTTGTTGACCAAGATAATTATGAAGCAAGAAGTAGAGGAAGATAAATTACAGAGGAATTGCGGTTGGGATAGGGGTGGACTAGTGGTGAGACCAGCTCCAATTGGAATACAGAAGATGAGTTCAACGGATGAACCAGAGGCTTATAGGAAAAAGTTCAGAGAACTGCGGTTGAAAGCGGGAGTACATCCACGAACACTCGTCCAAAGAATGAGAGCTAACTTGATACGATGGCTGAAACCAGAAGAAAGAACCAAGGAGCAGTTGCTAGAGATAATTCTTATGGAACAATTGATTAACACGTTAAGTGCAAATGTGAAGAGTTGGGTACAAAAGAATAATCCTAAAACCTTGGAGGAGGCGCTCTGTCTAGTGGAAGGTTATTGCATGGCAGAGGAAGCTAATAAGGAAAGTTCCGCCCCATGGGAGGACCGTGGGAGAGCACATGAAAAACCAGCAGTGCCAAACGCAGGGGTTAGTTCGCGACGGGCTGCGGAGATGTTTGGAGCAGTGAAGACTCGTGGGCGCCCTTTCAAGCCAATGGCTCCAAAACCGGTGCAATCTATTACGGTCGACCAACGTATGTACAAGCCAGGCACCGGTTTAAAAGAAGGCAAAGACAGGCATCGAGTGTGTTTCGATTGTGGACTGCCAGGACATGTGAGAAGGGACTGCCCAGGGACTGATTTTTCCTGGGTATGGCAGCAACAAAAGACAATAACTAAATCAACGTCGGAACATACAGGTTGGGAAGTGGAAGTGTGGGTGAATGGAGAGAAGAAACGGGGTTTGATTAATACAGGATGTGGCAAGACTTTGGTACGGGACTTGAAGGGGGGGAAAGAGAGGAAGGACTAGTACTGAAGTGTATACATGGAGATGCTAAGATTTATCAAACAACGTGGGCGGAAGTGAAAGTAGGAGAAGAATCACAACGGATGAAAATAGGGGTGGTACCAGGATTGTCTCAGGAAATTTTATTGGGGCGAGACTGGGTGTTCGGTTGTAGAGACGGATTACAAGGAGACTGCAGAAACCGAGGATGAAAGCAATTTTTTAGAGGAGATGTTGCACGAGCAGACACGAGTGTGGAAGCAAGATGACCCAACGCTGCAGGAACATCTCCGTGGAGCTCAGGAGTCGGGAGCAATAGTAAGAGGGCAGAAGGGATTGGAAATGTGTGAAGGATTGCTGTACTGGGTAGATGAGGAAGGAGGGTGACAATTGGCTGTACCACAGAAATGGAGGAAGAAAATCTTGGGGTTGGCGCATGGCATTCCAATGGCTGGACATCTATCTGATGGGAAAATGAAACAACAGATAAAGCAAAGGTTCTAGTGGCTGGGGATGGATAAAGATAACTTGTCTAACTTGCCCCGAGTGTCAGAGAATGCAAGCTAAGCCTGGGCCAGGTGCAGATCCGCCTTTGGTGGATCAGCCTTTTCAGAGGGTTGGAATAGATATAGTGGGGCCTTTGTTGCGGTCAGCAGGGGGACATACTCACATTTTAGTTATCATAGATTTTGCCACTCACTTCCTGGAGGCTAACCCTTTAAGGTCCACCATGGTTAAGGTGTTGGCCAGAGAGCTGATGCAAGTGTTCTCTCGATTGGGTTTCCCTAAGGAGGTTTTGATAGACCAAGGTACAAATATCATGAGTCAGACCTTCAAGGAGATGTGGCATTTGCTGGAGGTGAAACTGGTCCATACAGCTGTTTATCACCCGCAGACCAATAGGCTTGTGGAAAGATTTAATAAAACCTTGAAAAGTATGTTAAGGAAACTAGTGATGGAAAAACCCCAGAGGTGGCACCTGTTGATAGCCCCACTAATGTTTGCAATTCGAAAGGTACCACAAACCTCAACCGGCTTCTCACCTTTTGAGATGATGTATGGATGGAACCCAAGGGGAATCTTAGATCTGGTGAAGGGTAAGTGGGAGAGTGGGAAGGATGAAGCCCAGATAGTGGTACAACAGGTGATTGAAATGCGGGAACATCTGTGAATGGTGGCTGAAATTGTGAAGGAGAATTTGTTGAAGGTGCAACATGGGCAGAAAAGGAGATACAATGTGAAAGTTAGACCCAGACAGTTTGTGCCAGGACAAAAAGTGCTGCTGTTAATACCAGCTGAAAATGCTAAGTTATTTGCTAAATGGTAAGGCCCCTATGAAGTTCTTCAAAAAATAGGACCGGTAGATTATGAAATAGCAATGCCTGATAAGACAAAGAAGAAGGGTGTCTTCCATGTAAACCTGCTGAAAGAATGCAAAGAACAAGAAGCCTTGTGGGGAGAAGTGGGAGAGGTGAATTTTGGCCCAGAAGCAAAAAATTGTTTACACAAAGACCTTAGGCTTGTCATAATGAGGAACTAGAAGAGGAACAGCAACAGCAACTGGGGGAGATGGAACAAGAATTCCAACGTCTTTTCAGGATTACCTGGATATACCATTCTAATTGAACATCCCATTAAAACGTTACCCCAAGTGGTGATACGATCAGGGGAATTGGCCACATCACTTAAAAGAAACAATAAAAAAGGAGGTTGAAGAAATGTTAGAATTAGGGGTGATAGAACCATCCTGTAGCCCCTATAAGAAGGGGAGTACTCATGCTAATGTGGATTATTTTTCCCCGACACAGAGACAAGGGCGCGGAAACTGAAGAGAGGACAGTCCACTCATCGGGGGAGTGTGTGAAGGAGAGAGAACTAGTGAGCCATCCCAGTCCCTCCTACAACGCCCCACCTTTAGAGGGGGACTGGGCGAGACACCCTAACTGGGACGGTCTGCACAGTAAGGAGCACCCCTTTGAGGGAGATGACTGATCGCAAGCGCTTTGGTCCAGCCCCAGTGTGAGAAATGACCTGTTGATGCCAGGGACCAAAGTCCTAAGTTACAAGACGTTACCAGAATTAAATTGTTTTGACCCGTTTAATTTGGTTGATCTTGATGTTGAAGTTAATAAAATAGAACCTGTTGGATTTTTGAAATCGTCTCCGTCTCTTATTCCCGCCAAAATGAGGGAATCGTCACCAGCTCAAGAAGAACCCGATCACAGTCTTACCTTGAGTACTATGTCCAGTTCTGGACATTGCACTTGAAGATGGATGCTGACAAAGTAGAACAAGTTCAGAGGAGGGCAACAAGGATGATCCAGGGGGCTGGAAACCAAGTTCTATGAGGAAAGGGTGAAAGAACGAAGAACTTCATATTTTGCCTTGAGAAAAGAAGACAGGAAAAATAGGATTTTTTGTTGCTGTTGTTGTCGCGTCTGACTCTTCGTAACCCCATGGACCTGAGCATGCTCCTGTCTTCCACTGCCTCCCGGAGTTTGGTCAAATTCATGTTTATAGCTTTGATGACATTGTCCAACCATCTCGTATTCTGCTGTCCCCTTCTCCTCTTGCCTTCACTCTTTCCCAACATTAGGGTCTTTTCCAGGGAGTTTCCTCTTCTCATGAGATGGCCAAACTATTGCAGCCTCAGCTTCAGGATCTGCCCTTCCAGTGAGCACTCAGGGTTGATTTCCTTCACAATGGATAGGTTTGATCTC